GAGAACCACTGCCAATTCCTCAACTGATAAAGCAGGATTTTCTTCAAGGGCTGCTTCAAGAAGCTTTTCATCAAACTCAACTGGACGTCCGGTTCGATATTCATCTTCATGGGTGAAATCTCCACCTCTGAATTTTGCAAACCATCTTCTGCAAGTTCTTTTATTCACACATTCCTCTCCATAAACTGAGTGAATGTTTCTAGCCGCTTCGGCTGCTGAGTTTCCTTTCTTGAACTCATAAATCATTATGTGCCTCAAATGATTCTTGGGTACTTCCATGTTAGCAGGGTTTTAATCAAACAAAATTTAATTTTATTGTTCTCTGAAATGAAATTTGATGAGTTTAAATGCATCTAAACATAAAAATAATGTTCAGCTCCATTAGACATTATAAAATACTCTTTAAATTTCGTTCATTTTAACAAAATGTTAAAATTCGGACAGAACTTATGGGATGACCTCATAGATCTATCCCCCCCCCCATATGAGGTAATTTGGGATTTTGTTGTGTATTACTATTTATTGGCTCTGTTATAATAAATACACTGAGTTCCTTTTGGGGATCAGTTTTAATATTTTTATTGCTAGGATCCACTTGGATTATATACCAACCGATTTATTACCTGTATTATATATATATATATATATATATATATATATATATATATATATATATATATTATATGTATTGTTACATTAGAACATGTAAGTAATTACTACAAAATTGTACATTTTGTTTCGACGTTTAAATAAAACGTATCTTCAGGTAATTAACAATGATGGTAATAAACGCAATTTATGAAACATCACATCATTTTCCGTTTTTGGAAAAAATTCCATACAAGGTAAAAAGGATTTTTATAAAGCAAAATGAAAAGAAAATAAGAAATCAACAAAAGGCAAAAAAGAAAAGGAAAGAAAGGCAAAAGAAAACATAAGAAATAAACCAAGAAAATAGACAAAAAAAGAAAGGCAAAAGAAAGAGAAGAGCATATTCAAAATTACACAGAGATAGAGGAAACATATTTCGTCCAACGATCTAGAGATTCTAGCTTGTTTGGGAATTTTCCATTTAACTTTAGGTGTTTCATTTCCTGCTTTTATTCCAAAAATATTTACAAAATGAAGTCATATTTTGTTTATCCGCATTAGTAAAGGATGAGAGATGATTATACAAACGCTTTTTAAGTTGATTCATTGTGCTTTCAATATATATTTTTGAAACCCTTGGATTTTCTACTGATGAAATAGAACACATATACACAAAGGATTTAGTTAAGCATTTGTTAGATAAAGGACGTTGATCGAGATTTCTACAACTACAAAGTTTTTTTATACGGGACAAATTAAGGTCAGCATTATGGTTATTATTGTTATATAAATTCAATATTTTATTGTTATGTAATTTAATTATTTTCTCTAAATTATTAGTACAACTATAACTAAGTTTTAGAGTGTTCCGATTGAAAATTTTACTTAAAGAATTATTTTTAGGAAAATGCTTATCAAGTAATTTAAAAAAATTATGTCTCAATTCATAGATTTACAGACAGATTCTTTCCCTGTATCACAGCTCCTCAGTGTGGATAGACATGCGATCTGATATCAGTCGGAGTCTCTCACCCTTAGCCTATCAGCGCATGCAGCTTAAAACAGGGAATTTTTTAACACATTATATGCAAGATATAAGCATTACCGGCTACCAGAGTGCTCAATACATAGCGATGAGCTTTTAGCGTTAATTAGTAGCAGCCGATAAATTCCTTTTCTTCCCAATTGTTTCACCTACGAGAGGGGGTGTATATAGTCATCCACAGACACTGTTTCGCTGTATCACAGCTCATCAGTGTGAATAGACATGCGATTGCTTCAAACCGGGATCGAAAAATGATTATATTAATACAACTGCGAAAATTATGAGATCGTTACGTGTATTTTTCCTTCAGGCGAGCAGAATTTCTGTCCAAAATTGCTCAATAGATAACAAGAACTCTAATATTCCATAACTTAAGAAAAGGCTCTTCAAGTGACTTCTCTCGTTAGCTGACTCAAAGGTTTCGTGTCGAAACACTCATCAGGGCTAGATGGCTGAGGAATCGGTTGAACTTATTATCAGATTCCATATTTATATTCGTTCTAAGCGAATGAACGCTAGTTAAAACTTTCAAATTTGAAACTGGAAATTCTTAACGCATTAGAGTTTCATTAGAAACGACACACGGTTTAAATTTAGAACCAGTTAATTTTTTATGCATGGTAATTGTCAGTTTTATACCACTATGAAATCTCCAGATGAAATATAGATTTAAGGTATGCTATATTTATGGGTTAAAGTGTTTAAAGTCAGGAATAGAGTGTATGTAAATATAAAAGTGAACATTGAAGTCAACACCCACAGGCGACAGGCCTGACGATTACGTTTAGATTACGTGTCGCCTGTGGGTGTTGAATTCAATGTCCACTTTATATATATATATATATATATATATATATATATATATATATATATATATATATATATAAATTTCATTTCTCTTAAGCATGTTTTCCTCCTACCCCAATATAAAACATGCTTAAGAGAAATATGAAATTTACTCCTCCCTATACTCTACCTTGTCTCGTTAATTACAACTATCACCCTCCCTGTTAAATTACAAATATTACACTACCCATCAATTTCTAATACCACTTTTTCTTTCATTTCGTTGTTGGAAGTGTTACCTGATGATCCGGAGTCCTTCAAAAAGGATTTTGGTGAAATAAATTATTGTAATGGTACCTTTAAAGTAGTCTGTTTCTTCATTAAATATTAGCTCTGGATTCACATTGAGCTCTCAGGATTTCATCCTCCTTGGAATTACCCATTCGGTTTACCAAGTTCTTCGTAACTTACATATATATATATATATATATATATATATATATATATATATATATATATATATATATATGCAGTAAAGGTAATAAATTCGTTGCTATATAATCCAAGTGGATTCCAGTAGTATAAAATATTAAAACTGATCCACAAAAAAAGACCACAATGTATAATACCTTTCATCCTCCCCTGACCACTGTCTTGTGCCTTTTGTCTGACTGAAACATTGAAATGGATAAATTCTGTATCAATTTTTGACTGCTGTCACAGTTAAATTTTTGATTCTGACACGAACTCAGTCTGTATACCCGGGTTGAATAAGACTGACGAAGTTTTCGTCGGTTGAAATAGGTATATACACCATATGAGGTAATTTGGGATTTTATGGTTTACTACTACTACTACTACTACACACACACACATATATATTATATTTCATATATATATATATATATATATATATATATATATATATATATATATATATATATATTCTGTGTATTTAAGCAGATGTTGTTTAAAGCAAATACTATTAAAATCAACTGACATTTTGTGTCGATTAATTTTAATGATCGACTTTTCCAAATAACGAATAATCCTTCTCAGACAAGGAGGTAATCCTGTCAGAAATTGCCCGAATTTAATTTCGGAAGAAATGTACAAGAAATATTGTTCAAGCTTTCGACTTCCTTAAGTCATCATCAGAGACTTCGAAGAACTAGTGGCCAACATCAATAAAGAACACCCGATCAATGGATCTACTCGTTTTAGAAGCAGTATCCAGACCGTAATTATAACTGATAGCTGCCATTTTGAATGCTTTGTGTATACATGTAAGAAAATGTACGTGTACATCAATACATTTGTAGTTTAATTTTATTTTACCCAATAAATACGTATTTTTCAAAATAAGTTTAATTCTTGTTAATATAATCTGTTTAGTCTTGAATGTTAACTACAATGGTCAAACAAAACGCAGCGAGAATTCTAGATCGAAAGTCCTCTACTGGTTGTCAAGCTTTCAGGAATACGGGTGGTTTGGAATACGGGTGGTTTGGAAAGGCGACTTTGAATTCCAGTCGAATTCATTATATTTACACACGAAAATACTCACCGGGAAGGTTTGAATCCATTTCCTACCTCCAGGTATGGGTTAAATAGTATGATTGGAAAAATCATTGCAGTTCTCAAAAGATAGAGAAGGCAAAGGCAGAAGAGGAAAGCAGTAAGCACCCTACCGAAGAAGCGTGTGTAAATGGATGACAGAACAGGGATTGTCAGGGATAGCAAAAAGACAAACATTACTAAAACAAAGGAGAGGAGGTTGTGGTAAGCCATGATCATACACATCCTGAAAAAGAAGTAGAATAGTGCTCAAATATGAATAGGCTAATATGTTTGAATGAGCATGTGTATTAATATGCATCTTTATTAGTGCATAGGTTTTAAATGTTTATGTGTACATAGGCCTGTGCAAATAGGTGTATTTGTAAATATGTGTGTGAAATATGCGATGAGCAGACTGAAATATGTATATGCCTTTGTAATTGCGTGTCAGTATGTGTTTGTATGAATGTGCATATAAGTGGGAGTGAAAATGTACACACACACACGTGCACACATACAAATATATATTATTTTTTTATTTTTATATCTATGCTATAAATTTGGCGGTGTCAAAAAAAGGTAATGCAATTTGTAAATAAAAGAATATTAGCAGATTGGGAAAAAATCAATAAAAAAAGAAAAGACTAATAACATCCGTACGGGTTAAAAATAATCAACCAGCACTGCAATGCCTAGCCAAAAGAAAAAAAATAAAAGAGTTACCTAAGCTGATACGTAAAAGTGCTTAATGCACAAAGTAGAGCAAAATTAGAATACCTAAAGAGCCAGAACTTATCTACCTAGGTTTGACCTACCGAATCATCAGGATAATTCTCTCTCTCTCTCTCTCTCTCTCTCTCTCTCTCTATCTATCTATCTATCTATCTATCTATCTATATCGCTGACTTTTTAAAGTAAATTTCGTATTCTCAGTCGTGAGACCAGCAGTGACTTTTGAAATCAGCAAGTGGCTTACATACTTACGTAGACATATCTTGCTACACCAATCGAAGACCGTATGAACGAACTGGGGTACAAGAAATGGGCGCTTTGAGAATCAAACTGTCTACAATAGTGAATTATCATAATAGGCTTGGCACAAAACTTATGTTTATACTGATCCTTTCCGGTTTAATAAATTTCTTGATGTTAAGATGAAATTCACCGTAGCTTTTGTTAACCTAAGCACTTTCGACATTTTCTAAGATCATCTTCAGGAGTGAATCACAGGGATAAACTTATTGTAACTACAATAAAATCTGCATACCGTCATCATCATCATCATTATATATATATATATATATATATATATATGTATGTATTGTGTATATCAATTAAAAAAAATTTAACAAAACCCTTCCTTTATGTATATAATTGTTTAGCGTATCTTGTACTTACATTCCCACTCTTGGTTTTCTTTATTCTTTCTTTCTTTCTTTCTTTCTTTCTATCTATCTATCTATCTATCTATCTATCTATCTATCTATCTATCTCATTTTGTTCATATCCATCTGTCTCTCTCTGTTCTGTTCATATCTATCTATCTATCTATCTATCTATCTATCTATCTATCTATCTATCTATCTATCTGTGTGTGTGTGTGTGTGTGTGTGTGTGTGTGTGTGTGTGTGTGTGTAATCTGGTTGAATTTCCGCCTTAGATTCAAAGACTAGTCTATTCAATGGAGCCATATTGGTGGGACGAAAGTAATTCGATATTATTTGAAGATTATAAACCGATTTTTCTGAAAAAGGCAGATGATGAGTTTTATTGACCAGAGTTTTCACCCCGGATGTTTTATAGATGTCGACCCAACACCACACACAAGTGCATACACCTTTAACAATTGCCTGAACACACCGTTAATACCTGCATATATATATATATATATATATATATATATATATATATATATATATATATATATATATATATGAATAAAAAAGAGACAAAAGGAAAAACTATACTTCTATACACGTTTCGTACCTTTATCAAAGCAATGACCCTTAGAGGACGAAACGCTAAAAGTAGTTTTTTCTCTTGTCTCTTCTACAGATACATTCTGTCTGAGAATATTTACATACACACGCACGCACACACATACACACACATAGATATATTTGTTTGTGTGTGCGCATATATATATATATATATATATATATATATATATATATGATAAAGTATGTAAGATGTAAATACACACACACAGAAACGCACACGCAACCACACATAAAGAAAATGCAGTTTGATCTTAATAATTAATATCACTTGGCCGCTTCAAATTAATATAGAATTTTAAAAGATTTTAAATTTTATAAATTATCATAATTAATATTTCAAAAAAATGATAATAAATTTTATAAAATTCATTATTCATCGAATTTTTTTTCTCAAAACAAGTGTCCATAATATTTTTATTCATAAAGGCAATTAAAACATTTATAATTAATTGCATATTTACTTTCCCAATTCGGGGCAATATTCTGTAACTGGAGTACTGTTTTACCTAAAGAAGTTGATGATTTAATTCTCCAAGGATTTATAAACATTAAGCTATACAAAAAAAAAAAAAAAAATAATCTTAAAAAAGAAATTTCCAACATTTCATAAAATTGAGTTGGTGTGGTTACAGATGTAAAAAAAAAAACATTTTTACAAAGATTTAAAAAAAAAAAAGTTTAAAAAATAATTTAATTAACTTTTTGGATAAGTCTTGAAAGTTTTATCAAAATTTGACAATTATCTGGGTTTTTCACAATTTCCAAATCAATGCGTTTTCAACGCCCCTACGTCTCAGAAAAACCCTAACAAAATTTTCAGGTTTTACAAAAAACAAAATTTTCCAATTAATCTTTCCTCTTAATAAACGATTTTGAAGACTTTTTAATCATGAAACAGATATATTGATTAAATGCCAAAAACAATATGGTGTTTTTCAAGCAAATCTTCAGGCGATATTAAATTTTCGAATGAACGATTTAATTCTCTTTTAAGAATAAAGAGAGGGGTAAAGTGTATTCTGTTGTTCTATCTATTTGATATATATATATATATATAATATATATATATATAATATACAGGTTGCCTCAAACGTTTTTGGTTGTAAAAACAACAAAAACATAATTTCACGACACGTGTTTCTGGTCTGGTCTCAAATCAATTAATTTTTCATGTTCAATGTGGAATATTCTTAATAATGAGTTCTGCGTGAACATAAAACGATTAAGGTTTGTCCAGCGAGTAGTTAACATTAATCTTATGTGCTCTTGGATCTTTTTCAGCGTGTGTATATCGGCATCGTATATATATGCGTGCGTACATACTACGAAACAGATATATATATAAGGATATTACAACGAAGACGTGTCAACATCCCAAACTCTACACACAATTGCAATGGTGTTTCGATGATCGTATCAATGCTATTCTCATCAGGCGATATTAAATTATATGGCATGAATGAACGATTTTACAAAAAGTTTTCTGTTGTCTGTCAATTTTATTGCTTTTGTTAGGGAGAAGTTGTTTTTAATATAAATTTTGGAGTTGCAGTTTAAGTTTTTGTTTATTAAATGTGTATATAATGATGTTCATCTTTTTTGTTCATTTTCATCTTGAAGACGGTTTGAGACCAGACCAGAAAACCTGGAAATTATAAAACAAAGTATAATATATATATACAACCAAAAATGCGGCCCTCTTCTTTTTATATATATATATATATATATATATATATATATATAAGAGAGAGAGAGAGAGAGAGAGAGAGAAAGAGAGAGAGAGTGGGTATGAAAAGTAGATCGAGGCACAATGACAAATGTGTGTATAAGAGACATGCGTGAATTGAGAGCAATTATATATATATATATATATATATATATATATATATATATGCTCAGTCAACAAAACATTCGGCTGTCTAAAATGCTAAGAGTGTACAGTGTTTGCCCTCCTCCTATATGGCTGTGAGTCTTGGACCCTGGACCGCAGAAACATGAAGTAACTGGAGAACTTCCGCATGCGGACTCTTCGTCCCATACTCAGAATTTTCTGGCAGGATTACCAACCTTGAGGTCCTTGATTGTGCTCACTCCTCAAGTATTGAGTCCATGCTCATTAAGGTCCAACTCCGATGGCTGGGGTATGTCATCCGCATGGCGGAGCACCGCTTGCGAAGACATTTGCTGTACGGAGAGCTCCTGCACGGCAAGAGAAATCAAGGCCTTCCAAAGAAGCGGTACAAAGACACTGTGAAAGCAAATCTCCAGGGATGCAAGCTCAAACCCAAAGAACAAGAGGAGCGCGCCACCAGTGCCTGACCACGTTGGCGAATCAAAATTCGTGATGCTGCTAACAGTTTCGAGGATACTCGACGCCAGAAGTTCACCTCTGCCAGAGGTCAACGCCACAGGGCATCGTCAGCAGTGATTGTGACGACAGACTTTCAGTGCCCCCACTGATCCAGACTCTGCGCTTCCAGCTTGGGGTTGCGGAGCCACCTCCCAGTTTACAGATGAGAGGCAGATACGACACGTCATATTCGGATTCGGAGGACAACCGACACACACATATATATTAAAGAAGCGTATTTAGGCAGCAATCTTTTATCTAAATAAGTTTTATTAAATTTAAATTTTACCATATTTTCCAATTATCCAATTAGATTATATATATATATATATATATATATATATATATATATATATATATATATATATATTGGAGGGGAACGGTGGAGTAATGGATAGCAGCTTGAATCCATTATATTCACTTCCGTGCTAATACCCTTGGAAAAGTGTGGATCCTCTTCTTCTCCCTCCAGCTATGAGTAAATATCAGGACGGAGAAGAAGTTGCCATTCAAGGCTGTAGAACTGGATGGCAACTGGTCTAGGAGAAGGAAAACTCTGACTTCAAAACCTGCGGAGGGTCGTTTGGGGTCTCTGTATTCGGCCCTTCAAAAAGTGTGGATGGTCCTGCACAAAACCTTCACCTTCTCATGTGCTGGTGTCGGGTTGTCAGTTTCTAGGAACTGATATGCTTGACACTCATACATCGAATTCGACAGGAGAGTCGAGTATATATATATATATATATATATATATATATATATATATCGAATAAGATTTTTACATTGGGAATGAAATTATGAAAGAACTATTGAGTTTTTCTGTTTTGTTCGGTTATCTCAGTCATTATTAAGAACTGGGTATTGTCAGTGTGGTAATTAAATTTTGACTATACTCTGACGTAGTTAAATCATTGGGATTGGAACTGGGATCCGTTCATAGTGACGTCATATGTAACTGTTGAACGGAAAAGTATGTATCGTATATTGATACTTTTTTTGTCATGTAAATTAAATATATCATGCGCATATTAAATGTCTTCAGTACACCAGCTCCCGTGGAGAAAGTTATTTTATTAAATGACTTGTTTTTTTGTTTTTTTTTTCTAGAATTTAAGTTTTTCTTTGAAATGAGTCCTGCATAATATCTTATTATGAGTTAAAGTTGGTAAAAATATTAAAAGAAATTAAATAGACAATCTTTGGTTGAATTTAACAAAATTTGTTGAGAGAGAGAGAAAGAAGAGAGAGAGAGAAAGAAGAGAGAGAGAGAAAGAAGAGAGAGAGAGAAAGAAGAGAGAGAGAGAGAAGGTGTGAGAGAAGAGGAGAGAGAAGAAAGAGGAGTGTGATTAATACAAATAAAATTTGTCATTTAGCCGATTGATATATATATATATATATATATATATATTTTTTTCTAGGAGATTTCGGTCTGAAGAGATGAATACAAAGATATTCACGAAATAAATTATAACCGAAATGAATCTTTAAGATTTTCTTCTTCATTATTATTATTATTATTATTATTATTATGCTCTATAGTCTACATTGACCTCTCCCTGATTTATTAACCTCCTTGGAATTATCCCTACTAATCACAAATTGGAAATGATATTAGGAAATCAGCATATCACTCTACGATGGTTTCAACTTTTCGGTATCGTCAGGCAGTATAGGCCAAATGATATTGATATAGGATATTTGTTCTATATCGCCTGATGATACCAAAAGGTTGAAACCAAAGTAGTTTGATTGGCTGATAGCTAATTTTTAAATTTAAAAGCTCTGCGTGTAAAATTTTTATTTTCTTTTTACGTCTATTGAGTACTTTTTAATACAACTGTTTCCTATCCTAAATCAACTCTGACTAATAACTGTTTTATACACATATATATAAGAGGCAGGGTAATGGATTGAGGAATCGGAGAGCCTAGTTCGAATTCCAGTCGAATCCATTACATTCACTTAAGTGCTAATACTCTTGGGAAAGGTGTGACTCCTCTTCTTCTCCCTCTAGCTATGGGTAAATAGCAGGACAGACTGGGTTCTATAGCCTTGGATGGCAACTGGTCTGGGAGAAGGACAACTCTGAATTCAAAACCTGCGGAGAGTCTTTTGGGGACCTTCTGGCACGTAGTGCACCAGGTCTCTGTATTCGGCCCTTCAAAAAGTGTGGATGGTCCTGAACGAAACCTTCACTATAATCAAATCTCCTGTGTTGTTGTCGTGCTGTCGGTTTCCTG